TGGTGATGGAGGGAGGTATGGTGGTCATGGAGGGGAGGTGATGGTGGTGATGAAGGAGGAGGTATGGTGGTGATGGAGGGAAGTATGGTGGTGATGGAGGGAAATATGGTGGTCATGGAGGGAGGTATGGTGGTGATGAAGGGAGGAGGTATGGTGGTGATGAAGGGAGGAGGTATGGTGGTGATGGAGGGAAGTATGGTGGTGATGGAGGGAAATATGGTGGTCATGGAGGGAGGTATGGTGGTGATGAAGGGAAGCATGGTGAGATAGGGAGTATAGGTATAGTGAAGGAGGGGGAGGAGTTATGATGTGAGAGAGAGAGAGAGAGAGAGAGAGAGAGAGAGGAGAGAGAGAGAGAGAGAGAGAGAGAGAGAGAGAGAGAGAGGTAAATAAGGTGAAAGAGGTTAGTGTAGGGGGGGGGGCGTAAGACAGAGGTACTACTCACCAAGATGGAGGCAGCAGGTGGGGGTGAAGGCGAGGCAGCAGAGCAGTAACAGTAGCAGTTGAAGCTCCATGGTGACGGGCCGCCACCTTGAGATGGTAGTTTTATCTAAGTCTTCTGAGAACGTTCACTCCTGGAGGGTTCTAAGTGAACGTCAGTCTGAAAACGTTCATCTAAGCACTTCACTGGATCACCATTCCCAGAGGCGCTTCAATCCTACTACCCGACTTTTTTTTCTTTTAGGTCATTCCAAAGTAGTTTAGTTTTAATGATGATCTTCATGGAGATCTTAGACGTAACACAAATTCTCCAGGACAGTTTCTATCAGTACTCCCTCCATCACCTCTCAGTGTCATCAACCAACCTGTACGTGGGAATGTGTTTAATATATTTTTTTTACGTCCGTGCCCCCTATGGTAACTGCAACAGCTGTCGACCATTGACTCTCATCTGCATTTAATTTGCATAATCAGAGTAATGCGTATAGACGTATGCTTCACCCCGGCCTTTAACTACGAGGAGGGATTATCCATCTGTTAGTCACTTAATTCCTTGGAGTATCTGATTAAAATTAGACGAATAGTGAGTTTCATTCTTCGTAAATATCCTTTAAGAGATCTTCACTCCTCACCTGTAAAGCTCCGTACCTGTATTTCTTAAAGGCATTTTGGTGTTGATGGACCGTTTATTTCTCGTGTTCTTGCCTCCAGCACTAGTTTATGTGTATTACGCCGCCGGGCACTAGTTTGTATATTACGCCGCCGAGCACTAGTTTATGTGTATTACGCCGCCGAGCACTAGTTTGTGTATTACGCCGCCGAGCACTAGTTTATGTGTATTACGCCGCCGGGCACTAGTTTGTATATTACGCCGCCGAGCACTAGTTTATGTGTATTACGCCGCCGAGCACTAGTTTGTGTATTACGACGTTGTAGGCAGTTTTTTTTTACAACAGGAGCTACTTCGTTTGATCCTGCTCGTGACTGTATCACCTGGTGGTTGAGAGACACGAGTATGTTGAAGAGAGAGAGAGAGAGAGAGAGAGGGAGATGAAGAGAGAAAGATGCACAGACAGAGACTGAGAGATGTACAGAGAAAGAGAGAGACGCAGATATCTAGAGATAGAGAGATACAAAGAGACAGCACACAATGTTTTAACTACAGTAATCAATCGACTACGAAGTGTTTTTCACCAGTCGAGTCATCTTCTAGCAGTACACAGTGGGTAATAAGGCAGACGAGAATATGTTGAACAATGTATCTCTCGAGTTAAGATCACTATGAGGTCCTGAGCAAGCAAGAACACATCACCAAGATCACTGATAAACCTCTTCCTCCTCCACACCATCATTAAGGTAACTCAGTCTTATCATTAACCACGGGAGCGTAAGATAAGGCATCACATAACTTCATATAATCAACAATATTCACTACTTTTTCTGATATTACGTCACACGGGACTCGCTCATCTTATTCCCACAAAACAATTCGATATCCTCATCAGCCAACGTGTAGATCATTCGTCTATGTAATCTTCACTATATTCTGATACAAGTTTAGGTGGGTTATGAGTCCTTCCATATCCCAGGTAAGATATTATGTTTCTTTATTCGTTATATAAGCCATTTTAGATGTAACTTTCACAACGTTATTGATAAATGTTCAGATTCTGTGTCGTTCGCTGACACACTTATTACCGTATCGTGTGTGTCTGTGTTTGTGTGTACTGTTCACCAAGTCTTAAGTCTTAGTTCTAGACAATAACTCTTTGAACATTAAGAAAGACTTAAGGTTTTTTTCTTAATGTTTTTTTCTGTGTTCTTAAGGCGTCGTTGGTGGTACTGTCTTCACTGATGACAACACTGGCCAACTCTAAACACAGTATAGCTATTCAACAGTTTTCTGACTATCCACATTATTAACACCAGACGATCCTTCGCCAGGCTAGCAGCGTTGTCTCGTAGGATCAGTTGAGGATTTAGGATATTCTTGTTTTTCCTTCAGGACATCGACGAGACAAGTGGATCTGTGATGGAGAAAAATAGAGAGGAATTTAACGCTTGTAGAAATTTATATGTGTGTGTGTGTGTGTGTGTGTGTGTGTGTGTAGCAGCACCCACTTAGTGATGTACGCAACCATCTCCCACGTTGTAAATTACCACATTAGTTCAGGTGTATTACCACAGTCGTGTTAGTGTCAATCAGACGCCAGGTACAAAAATAAACAAAATATTTATAAATGGTTCAAATAAATGATGGTCATGTTAGGTTGTTTACCCAGCGTTTACCACCTGACTTATACGTGAATCATATTAATGACCTGAAAAATATTTAAGTCTTTATAAATACAAAACAAATTTAAACATATTTTATAATGTAAATAAAACTCAATCATAGGAATAAAAGTGACTGTAATCCACGCTTATATTCTGTAAAAAATAATGTAACTGTTTACTAATATATATATTTGCATAATTCATGGAGACACGGTGACGAGGCTGTTGGTGGAGTCTCATTACTTATCCTCAGATGACACACGTTTATATATAGTGATGGTGGTGATGGTGGTGATGGTGGTGATGGTGGTGATGGTGATACAGTAAGGTGATGGTTATAGCAAGGTGTGTGTGTGTGTGTGTGTGGACCAGGTACTGAAGGAAAGGTTCTTCCTATCATCATTACTACTGTTGTTATTGTTGCTCAGTGTCAGTGCCTCTGTGTCTGAGCTCCAGCCTCAAGGCACACCTATGATTGACTAATATGACCCAGCAGGTAAATCGCCAAGATGAGTATTTTCCCTCATCGTTGTGGAGCATTATGGCTGCTGGTGTTGTCCTGCTGACCGAGTGTTTAATGTACCGTCTTGCCTTCATCCTCTAGCTGCTGACCGAGTGTTTAGTGTACCGTCTTGCCTTCATCCTCTAGCTGCTGACCGAGTGTTTAATGTACCGTCTTGCCTTCATCCTCTAGCTGCTGACCGAGTGTTTAGTGTACCGTCTTGCCTTCATCCTCTAGCTGCTGACCGAGTGTTTAGTGTACCGTCTTGCCTTCATCCTCTAGCTGCTGACCGAGTGTACTGTCTTGCCTTCATCCTCTAGCTGCTGACTGAGTGTTTAGGTGTGTACTGTGTTATATAGGGGGTGGGGGAGGTGGGAGGGGAGAGGGTAGGGGAGGTGAGGGAGAGGTAGGGAGGCAGGAGAGGTAGGGTGGTAGGGGAGAGGTAAGAGGTAAGGAGAGGTAGGGAGGATGGAGAGGTAGGAGGGAGGGAGAGGTAGGGAGGTAGGGAGAGGGCAGGGGAGGTGGAGGGAGAAGGAGGTGAGGGGAGGGTAGGGAGGTGAGGGAGAGGTAGGGAGGTGAGGGAGAGGGTAGGGAGGTGAGGGGGAGAGGTAGGGAGGTGAGGGAGAGGTAGGGAGGTGAGGGAGAGGTAGGGAGGTGAGGGAGAGGTAGGGAGGTGAGGGAGAAGGGTAGGGAGGTAAGGGAAAGGTAGGGAGGTAAGGGAGAGGTAGGGGGAAGACAATAAACCTTCAATAATGAGAGGTTATGTATCACCTTAAAACACACTCCAGGTAAAGTTCATCACCATCATCATCGCCTCTGTGAATATCTACCTGCCACCTAAGACACTACTCCAGGTAAAGTACATCAAGGTAGAAATGACTAACAATTGTGTGCATATTGAGCAAGTCGAGTCACCACTTTGGAGATAAAACAGGTATTATTAGAGTCAACTGGCCGTAGACAGGATATGAAGAACGACCCTTGAATGGTGTCCAGGTAGTGGTAGTGGTTCAGTATAGTAGAGGTGTGTGTGTGTGTGTGTGTGTGTGTTTGTGTGTGTGTGTGTGTCATGACTTGTACAGCACACACTCACACACGAGAGTAATGTCCTCTTTAGGTCAGTGATCTTGTGTTCTTGTCTGTTGCAGTTATGAAGAACAAGTGAACAGGTTGTGAGGCAAGAACGTGACCGTTTTGTTCTCGTTTGTTATGTGACTTAAAAGGCAATATAGAACTGGGAAGTAAGAAATACTTTTATAGCGAGCGAGTAGCGAGCGAGAACAACAACAACAACAACAACAAATAAATAACAACAACAATGAATAAATAAATAAATAAATAAATAAATAACAATAACAAATAACAACAATAACAATAATAAATAAATAAATAAATAAATAAATAATAACAACAATAATAACAATAAATAACAACAATAACAAATAAATAAAACAATAACAATAAATAAATAATAACAATGTAAATAACAATAAATAATAAATAAATAAATAAATAAATAACAATAACAATAAATAAATAAATAACAACAATAAATAACAATAATAAATAATAAATAATAAATAATAACAAATAAATAACAAATAACAACAATAACAATAACAACAATAACAACAATAAATAAATAAATAAATAACAACAATAAATAACAACAACAAATAACAACAACAAATAACAATAAATAAATAAATAACAACAACAACAACAACAATAAATAAATAAATAAATAACAACAACAACAACAAATAAACAACAACAAAAACAACAACAACAAATGTCAAACAAATAAACAAACAACAACAAATAAACAACAACAACAACAACAACAATAACAACAAATAACAACAACAACAAATAACAACAACAAATAAATAACAACAACAAATAAATAAATAAATAACAACAATAACAACAACAACAAATAACAACAAATAACAACAATGATGATGATGATGATGATGATGATGATGATGATGATGATGATGACGACGACGATGACGATGATGATGATGATGATGATGATGACGATGACGATGACGATGATGATGATGATGATGATGATGATGATGATGATGACGATGACGATGATAATAAAACTAATAATAATAATAATAATAATAATAATAATAATAATAATAATAATAATAATAATAATAATAATATATGCAGACAATCAATATTCATGCTCAGCTCTTCTTGTACATCTTCCCCTCAATAATGCTCCAACTTTGTGTTACACTGTCCTCTATATCTCGCTAAACTCCCATCCTCTTCTAAAAGGTTGAAAAACTCTCCCATAAAACGCCGACATTAATTCTAATTTCCTTACCTACGACAGTCCAGGATGTGAGACATGATAAACTACCCTTTAGTATGCCTCCTCCCATTTACCCCTATTCCTTGGCAGCTCCCCTTAACCCCCCTACAAACACGACTGTAACACCCCTTCTCCCCCCTTAAGGAAGGATGTCCTCGTCGCGGTGATAGCCAGATTATAGCCCAAGAGTGACTTTACTGGCGCGATAATAGCCATAATCTCGCCATCGCCCCGCCAGCCCGCCGGGGGTGTACAGCGCGTTTACGCTAGGGAGGGAGGAGGTGGCGAGTGAGAGACGGGTAAGGTGCCTCCCCGTCCCTCAGGGCTTGTTGAGGAGGTGACGCCTTGTTGGTGCCGTGTGACGCTGTTACTCGTGGTGTTACAGCGGAGTGTAACACTGTATGGGGCGTTATAGATACATGATGGGTTTTATTCTACAGGTTAAGTATTATATAACTGCATGTGAATAACAGTGTCAGACTCCCGTAGATCATGTCTTACCGAGCCTCGATAGGTTCACCAGCGACAGATCTCACTATTGAGTCCTTCTCTATTTAGTAATGAAGAATTTAAGAGGCTAAGACCTTATTACGTGATCATAGAGAAGAATTAGGGGCCACAGATCTTCTTATCAGCCTAATGAAGAAACACTTAATGGTAGTAAAGGCAGTTCAACAATATTAGTATTAGTATTAGTATAAGTATTAGGAATAGTATTAGTATAAGTATTAGTATTAGTATAAGTATAAGTATTAATCAAGAGTCGTGGTGTTAGTGTAAACATGGTGTTAGTGAGGGTCCCTGAGGTGTTATGGGAGGGAGGGGCCCACACAGCTGTCTCCTGCCTCTTGGTGTACCGTGCTGATGGAGTAGGACTGTGTGTATACCGCGATGGTTACTGGGAGGGAGGGAGGGATGGGAGGGATGGGAGAGAAGGAGCCAGTGAGGGTGGGAAGGAACAGACACAGAGAAGGGGATGGAAAAGAGAGATGAAAAAGGGGGAACAGGAGAGTGAGGTAAGAATGCAGACGGGACGTAAAAAAGGAATGAGAGAGAGAGAGAGAGAGAGATGAAAATTACAGCCGGTAATAATCACAGCTTATCACGCGAGATATCTAAAACGCTTATTGAGATCTTATCAACAACGTCTTCGTGAGGCAGCGACTAAAAACCAGTTAACAAGATAAAGGAAAGAAAGAAAGAAAGAGAGAAAGAGAGAAAGAGAGAGAGAAAAAAGAGTTCTCACGAAGTCAGTTTTACATGAGAAAAAACAGAATTAATAATATATAACCCGTATATATATATAACTGACAATAATATATAACCCGTATATATAACTGACTTAATAATATATATATATATGCTATACTATACTGTACTCTGTGGCGACCTGTAGTGTAATGGTCAGCATTATCGCCTCGCAAGCAAGCGGACCTGAGTTCCATTCTCGGGCAGGGTGATACTATGGGCAAGTTTCTTTACGCCATTTGCCTCTGTCTGCTTGGATGTTAATCGGTTTGCGGATCGTGTTCCAGGGTAATGGTTAGCCAGTGCAGTTGGTGAGATGTCCGGTCTTCTCGGACTATTCCTTGACACTGGGTGATGCAACTCGCTAACTCAAGGTGTGGTTGTTGTGTTGGCGACAGCTTCTACACCTTAAACACTGGGTCATGCAGCTTGTTAACTCAGGGTGTGGTGGTTGTGTTGGCGACAGCTTCTACACCATGAACACTGGGTCATGCAGCTCGTTAACTTAGGGTGTGGTTGTTGTGTTGGCGACAGCTTCTACACCTTAAACACTGGGTCATGCAGCTCGTTAACTTAGGGTGTGGTTGTTATGTTGGCGACAGCTTCTACCTATGAACACTGGGTCATACAGCTGCTCATTAGCAAGAATTATGGTTGTTGTGTAG